AAGGAAGAAGAAACCGGAACAAAAGGGTACCGCAGAAAAGGCAAGCTTCTCATACCACGCAAAAGAAAGCAACGCAGTGACAGTGGCCAGAAGCGCAAAGACTACAAGAAAACGAAGACACATGCAGGTTTACGGGCTTTGCCGACGGCCCGGCATTTGACTCGCGATGGTGATGCGGAAGTCCACATGGGCGAAGCTCCGGACGAGGTGGATGAACACGACATTTGGAACCAGATGTCGCCAAGAAAGAAGTGAAATTCCACCACTTGCAAGTTGGCTTTCCTGTATCACCACGGACCCCGCAGCCGCACAGAAGACGTGCTTGTTCATTACGTCCGTTCCTGATCCGACATGCAACCTTGCTCTCTCTCCACATTAGCATGCCCCCACTTGATCGTGACTCTTGGGATCCTGTTGCCTGTTGGGTGCGAATGTCAAGCATTCTGGTTCATGAAATAATTTTGCATTCCCAATCCTTCTAACTGTAGTCCGGGATATGGTTGATCACCATGCAATCAATGAGATAGCCCGTCAGACCTAGTTTCAAATTCTAAGTCATTTCGCATGATCGGACCGGACCTCTAGTCCTGACAGGTGCCAATCCGTGCAGAACGGCTTCGCATCATCGGGTCACTGTGAACCTGACAGGTGCCAATTTGGAGCATGCTAGGGTTTTTTCCATGCCCAACCCTTCGAGATGTAGCAACATATGGTTTGTCACCATGCAATCAATGAGATAGCCCCTTAGACCTAGTTTTCAATTCTGAGTCATTAGGCATGATCGGACCTCTGATCCTGACAGGTGCCAATTTGGAGCATGCTAGGGATTTTTCCATGCCCAACCCTTCCAGATGTAGCCCGAGATATGGTTTGTCACCATGCAATCATTGAGATAGCCCCTTAGACCTAGTTTTCAATTCTGAGTCATTTGGCATGATCGGACCTCTGATCCTGACAGGTGCCAATTTGGAGCATGCTAGGGATTTTTCCATGCCCAACCCTTCCAGGTGTAGCCCGAGATATGCTTGATCACCATACAATCAATGAAATAGCCCCTTAGACCTAGTGTTCAATTCTGAGTCATTTGGCATGATCGGACCTCTGATCCTGACAGGTGCCAATTTGGAGCCTGCTAGGGATTTTTCCATGCCCAACCCTTCCAGATGTAGCCCGAGATATGGTTTGTCACCATGCAATCAATGAGATAGCCCCTTAGAGCTAGTTTTCAATTCTGAGTCATTTGGCATGATCGGACCTCTGATCCTGACAGGTGCCAATTTGGAGCATGCTAGGGATTTTTCCATGCCCAACCCTTCCAGATGTTGTCACCATGCAATCAATGAGATCGCCCCTTGGACCTAGTTTTCAATTCTGAGTCATTTGGCATGATCGGACCTCTGATCCTGACAGGTGCCAATTTGGAGCATGCTAGGGATTTTTCCATGCCCAACCCTTCCAGATGTAGCCCGAGATATGGTTTGTCACCATGAAATCAATGAGATAGCCCCTTAGACCTAGTTTTCAATTCTGAGTCATTTGGCATGATCGGACCTCTGATCCTGACAGGTGCCAATTTGGAGCCTGCTAGGGATTTTTCCATGCACAACCCTTCCAGGTGTAGCCCGAGATATGGTTGATCACCATACAATCAATGAAATAGCCCCTTAGACCTAGTTTTCAATTCTGAGTCATTTCGCTTGATGGAACCTCTGATCCTAGGAGTCCTTCTTTTGAGCATTGCAAAGTTAAATGATTACCCATTGGGAAGACATTGCTGCCTCTAGCCTGTGTGTGTGCGCTCTCTGGCCAGGTGACTATTTGGCGCTGGTGCAGCACCGGGAAGCACTCACACCCGACGCCCATAATTCCTTATTTCCCCCGAGGTCACCCTATTTCTGGTTTGGAAATAAGGGAATTAAGAAACGACCCAAGAAATAAATTAAATAGGCCAGATCTATCTATCTTTCTTTCTATCTGTCTATCTGCAAGTTTGAAAACGAAGCTATTCTGCGAGATTTCCTGGGTTTTGAATTTGACAACATCAAAAACGCAGCAATTCTGCGAGAGCTCCTCAATTTTTCAAATTGACAGCGTCAAAAAAGAAGCAATTCTGCGAGATTTCCTCAATTTTGGAAGTTGACAACATCAAAAAACAAAGCAATTCTGCGAGACGTCCTCAATTTTTCAAATTGACAGCGCCAAAAACGAAGCAATTCTAGGAGATTTCCTCAATTTTGGAAGTTGACAACATCAAAAACAAAGCAATCCTGCGAGACGTCCTCAATTTTTCAAATTAACAGCGCCAAAAACGAAGCAATTCTAGGAGATTTCCTCAATTTTGGAAGTTGACAACATCAAAAACAAAAGCAATTCTGCGAGACGTCCTTCAAAAATGGAAAAGTTGAGCACAAAGCTGACGGCCTCGTACCAATGCGTTCTGCGATTTTTCCATTCCATCTATGTAAAGTGCTACGCCTGCCACGAAAAAGTGATGCCAGGTCATACGAAGTGCTGCACCTGTCACGCAAAAGCATGTTCCCCAAACTGAAGATCTGAGGCTCCAAAATGTAACCCTTCTCAGGGAATCAGCGCCCGGACCTCCTAACATCTCTGTTGAACAAGTCTCTTGTATTGTGCCTGCCATGCGAAATGCATCTTTCCAGATCTTCTTCAAATGCCCCACGCCTGCCATTGTTTTTGGAAATGCTACAAAACCCTCACGTTTTGTTCACTTTTGACAAGGTGCACAATCTCTTGCGCCTGCCACGCGAAACGACATCCGAACGCCCAAAAGGGTTCCTAACATGTGGTGCTTTAACATTTTGACTTCGACATGTGCTTCGTGCCACAATGGCGTGCACTTTTTCGACATGTCAACTTCCAAAAGTGGTCCGAGACCGTCAGTTTTTAACGCTTTTGACTTGGCAGTGTGCTTCGCGCCACAACAGCGTGCACTTTTTCGACATCTGAACTTCCAAAAGTGGTCCGACACTGAGGTGTTTTGTACATTTTGACTTGGACATGTGCTTCGCGCCACAACCGCGTGCACTTTTTCGACATCTCAACTCAATCAAATGGCCTGAGAGTGTTTTATACATTTTGACTTGGAACCGTGCTTTGCGCCACAACGGCGTGCAACTTTTCATCTCTTATCTGGCCACATGGCTCTGCACCCGCCGCTTTAGCGAGCCTACTTTTCGACCCTCCGGAGCCACAAATCATTGGAAAAACACAGTGCTTCGCGACTTTTCTACCTTTTCGCGCACCTGACTCTTTCTCTTCTCTGCTCTTCTCTTCTCTGACTCTTCTCACCTCTGCTTTTCCATCTGTCCATATTGTCGGAAGTTCGATTTCTAAACTTCCTTCGATCATAAACATGTGCCTATGTCATAGAGTATGGTCTATAGAAATAATCAGCAAATAAATGAGTAAATGCATGAATAAACAAACAAATACATAAGTAATAAATAAATAAACAAATTATTATAATAAATAGACACATTAATTTATATATATATATATTTATATCATATATCTCTATATAAACATTCTCTACCCCCGGGCCCACTTCTTCAGGTGGGAGGCGCGCCATAAATATATGTATACATACATACATACGTACGTACGTACGTACATACATACATATATATATATATATAGGGTAAAGACCGGAGGTTCCCCGGAAATTATAGTATGATTGTACTTGGATGATCATTATATCATGTCATTTTTGTACTGTGGTTTACAGTGTTTTCAACTTTTCTCTCAACGGGCTCATATAGTGCTTTGATCAGTTGATCCAACCATGGTTGCAAAAAATTGCAATGAATTGCGCAATATTTCCAGTTGCAAAGTATGCAGACTAAACCAACGCCTCCTTTAACGAGAAGTAATGACAAGAGTCTAGCAAAAACAATAGGGGCACAAACTGTTCAAAAAACCTTGCAAACACCGTTGACAATGGCTACTGTAAACGGTCGGTCTTTGGGGGGGCACCAATATGTGGATATATATATATAATATAGTCATGTATGCATAAGGACATATACACACACATATATATATATATATATGTTGTGTATACATGGGTATATATCATAATCAATTTTTGGGCGGGGTGGAACCAACAATTTGCCACGGAGGCCAAGCGAAAGGCTGAAAAGCAGGCCGAGAAGGACACTAAAAAATCGGGTTGGTTTGCAACTCCAATTTTCGGAAACACATTTAACATCATAGATTTGTTTTTGCTATTTACTGGACAGTAATATGTGCCACAAAAACAAAAACCATGGAAATCAAAGTAACACATCAGTTTCTTTTCGCGATTCCAAGTGCAGCTTTGTTACCCAACATCCTGCTGTCTGGATGTTATCTCAGGAGCGGCTGCAGAGGGAGGCAGAAGAAAGAGCAGCAGCGCAGAAGCAGTCTGCAATGTATCCAGTCAGCTGCGGCCCTAGAAACCATTTACTCATCGCCTTTGGTTGTTTGTTGATGTTTTTATCTTCTGTTTGGTGTTTTTTTTGAACATGTATGATCATTGATTAACGTTTTATATATCTCCTACCTGAAATGATCGGGCCCCGAAATGACCTGCTGAGTCGGAGATCAAACGCCAACCAACCGGCTGTTGGTTGATATGTTTTTGTCAAAATGTGTTCAACCTGGTTGATGTTTCACGCATTGAATGCAACTGGTACTGTTGTTTTTTGGATTTGATGCAGTTCGCAACGAAAAACAACAACGTTGATATAATGTGATGATCAATTATGTCCATGCGTTTTTTTCTAAGCCGTGAAAATTGCAAACGGTACCTTGCAAGTTTTCTTCATTTTTTCCTAACTTCGGTGATCTAAGTTCCCTCCAATCAATGAGACGCTCTGCCATGAGGCAAGACTTCTCAGGCTCAAGGTGGTCGTTTGGTGAGCTGTCTGGGGCTTCAGGAATCACCGCTGACTGCAGATGTTGGTCGCCTGTTGGCTGGTGCTGAGGTGTTGGAGCAGAAGAGGAAGAAGAGTGACCCAACCCCCACAATTACCCTCTGGTAAACTAACATAACTATGGAAAATCATCATTTTTAATGGGAAAATCCACTATAAATGGTCATTTTCCATGGCTATGTTAAATTACCAGAGGGTAACATGAAGACCTTGCATGACCCTGCCATAAGTTTGGGCTTAGAAGACCATGTTGTCCTCTGTTTGGTGATCCGTCAGGGTCAAACTGTTTGGGAAATGGATGGAAATATTATTAGAAGGTCTACCCTCTGGTAATTTAGCATGGCTATGGAACATCACCATTTTAAAACGGGACGGGATTTATGTATCATCAAACTCAATGGGCCATGGCTTCCATAATCTTCCAGTTCGCAAACTGTTAGTCAACTTCTTCCTGTTTTTTGCCCACAAGAATCTGCAAGGTACGAGCAGGACTGGGACGAAGAGGAAGCAGAGGAAGCAGAGGAAGCCCCAGAACCTCCTCGCGCTGACGGTATGGATGCGTGCTTTTCAGACGCCTGGCACCCAGTGGCTGTTGATGCATTCATCTGCGCACATGCCTGAAAAACAAGCCAATGCAGTACATCAACAGTATGTGTGAAGAGGTCAGAGGCTGCTGAAAGTTTAGTTTAGATTTGCTACAAGAAAACGGCCGTTTGTTTTCCATGTTTGACTTCGAATACACTTGAACCTTGAATATGTTCTGCTGGCACCCAAAGTGCTGCCGATAAACAATTTGAGCTTTTGATCGCCCAGGCTATTCTTGGACAGGCGAGCACTGTACTGTACCGTCATGGATGCCCATGGTTAATGATTTCAGTTGTTTCAATTGCCTTGGAAATCATTTTCTTGTTGCCATGTCAAGCCGTTTGGTCGAAATGCTTTGTTCGCTTTGTTAAATTGATATACTTGCAACTTGGTGGTTTGCAGCTTGTTTTTATTCCTTTGCCTGTTCACTACGACCAAAGCGAGCTGCTGATTGCTTTCATGTGAATGGAATGTCTGCAAGACCTTCATCGGCGCTATGTTTTTCAAAGTGTCGTTCTGTAATACTGTCATGCAGATCGATGATTTTGGCAGCCCTTCCTCTGTGCAGAAGGCCGTGGGAAACTGCCAGGTGTTGAATCATCAAAACTGGGTATGGATCATTACCTATTAATACAATTTTTAGGGGGATGAACATCCATTTACCAGCTATCTTGATGTTTACCAGGGGTACAAGGTTTTGACACACTGCCAACTCTGATTTATCAGACATTTATCATAGTCAGTTGAGGAGGAACTCTTCGAGCAGATCAAAGCAGAGACACGAGATACTTTCGCCCGGCAGCATAGGGGGACGCAGTGTTGACTGCTTGGATGTGTGTTCTAGGACTGTTGCGGTCATGGCCTCATGGCTAGTGGTTTCTAACCCATTTTATGCCCAGTTCTGCGGGGTTACAAACCAGTTTCCTGACTAACCACTACCAACCATGGCCCATATGAACAGAGTTTTTTCATGTTTTTTCTTGAAACAAAACAGGGAGGGCAACAAACGGCCGTGAAGGCATGCGTGAAGGCATGCGCGAAGGCATAGGCTTCTAGATTTGACACATGCGAAGGCATCTCGTGAAAGCAAATACGTATAGAATAAAGAATAATGCAAGCCAACGTTTGCACAAATACATGTCTTGCCTAGGAACAAAGCTCATGATGAATTTGTCTGAAAATAGGCTACCCCTGTCATCATTTTCGCATGAAAATTGCCATTTGGAGGGCATTTTCAGATTTTCAGACACAGTTTTCCCATGTTTTCCCCCGCTGTGCCCGCCTCTCAGGTTTCATACCTTTGCGCCTCCCTGCCGAGCGCTCTGCTCAAGAAGTGCCGATGGCGTTGGGATCCCTTGGGAGGTCCACCTTACAGTTGGGATCCAGGGTGACTTACCTGAACTTTCTGAAGTTCGCACTGCTGTGCTGGGCGTTTATTAGTGTTGGTTTGTGTTTGAGTTTTTTCTATTAACGTTTATATATTGATTTATTAGGATGAATTGAGGCTTCTTAATGTCGTGCATTCTTCAGATGCGGAATGTCGTTTACTCATGTTTACTAGACATCTCTGGAAGATCTTGGTTGAAAGGTACCCAGCTGAACAGCTGGTGGGCTGCTTGCAAACACTGATGCAGGCCTGCGACAGACGTCTGTGGCAGTTGATGGCGGCCAATGAATTCGAGCCACATCAAATTGGGGGGCCCCGAAAACCATTGGTTTCCGTGTGTTTCCGTATCAAAATTGAGTCAGAAATCTATTTAAAATGGGTGTCCGTCCCATTGAACAATGGCACTTCAAATTGACCAACAACGGTCCGGGGGGCGCGATTTCATGACCCATAATCAAGGCTGATACCATGTCAGAGTTTGGCAGGGTAGCTCTTGTTCTGAGTCTGTGGTCCAATGATGTGTAGTAGGGCCCCATACCTGGTAATTACCATGCTTTTCCCACTCCAATATTTCATGGTAATTTCATTCAAACGGATACAAGTGCCCGTCTTATAAATCGAGAAAAACATCTAATAACTAATATATAATAATATATATATATATATATACACATAATCAAGTACAATCATACATTCTATATTCATTATTTATATATTTAACGTATACGTAACGTATATATAGTTTTCAGTCAATCATGAAGATTTTCATGATGCCAGGAGTTGCGCCGTTGCGTCCTGCAGCACGGCTTGGAGGACGTTTCGGAAGAAGAACCGACCTCCGTGGCAGAGGACGACGGGGTTACCGAAAGTGAGATGGCGCTTCTGCATTTTGAAGGAAACACATGGAATGATGATGATGATGATGATGATGATGATGATGATGATGATGATGATGACGACGACGACGATGATGATGATGACGACGATGATGACGATGATGACGACGATGATGATGATGACGACGATGGCGAAGACGAAGACGATGATGATGACGACGACGATGATGACGACGACGACGACGATGATGATGATGACGATGATATATTTACAATGGACTACTTCGTATTCTCTTTATTTACCCAGGTGACGAGTTTTGGGATGCCACGACGATGTTTTTCCAAAGAGCTGCTGGGACACCTATGGCAGGAGCTGCGGCAGGGTTCCCGAGATGGCTGGCTTGACTACCTGCAAAGCCCAGAAACTCAGACAAAGTCCTAGCTCACTGCGACATTCGGCCGTGCAATGTCACTAGTTACAAGTATTCACCGAGTAAATAGCCGTAATATAGACAATCATAGACATGATGAACCGACTTCCCAGCATTCATGGTTTTTCCATGGGATAAGTCCATGGAATTCTACGCAATGTGTGGAAGGTTCACGTGAACTTCTCCAGTTGGGTCATCAGAAGTGTCATGATGTGAGGCATGAATCCTCACGCTCTTCGGCAGCGCTTTGATCTGTCAGTTCCTGAGCGGCGTAGATTCAATGCATCAAAAAAAGCCAGCACTACGGGTCGAAATGGGGGGCTCAAATGTTTTGAGATGTTTTGAGTCAAAGTTTTGAGTGATATTCTTTCATTTCCATAACCAAAACTAAACGAAACGCTGTGTCGCAGTGCTGAAGGTTTTTTTTTATATCCTCCTGTGTCGCAGGACAGAGCTGATCGACACGTTTCAGGACGGCTTGTTGGATGACTTGACACTCCAGCCTGGAGTGGTTTCGCTATGGTTTGTTGGGTTGACAATAATGCGCAACAACACACGAACATATAAATGTATTAATGTAGTACAATGATGTACAATGTAGGATTTATGACTTTTCTATTTTTTTCTATTTTTTAATCTCCGTTGGTAACAATGCGTATCTAAAGTTTGGTTGTCGATGCTGGTAGTTTCCAAAGCGACACGGATCAGATTGTCCTACTACAACATGGTTTTCTATGAATGTAGAGAACTGTGTAATGAGATGTAATTAATGAGTAATGTATGTAAACAATAGACATAGAGTCATAGAGTTAGTGATGTTAGTGGTAATCCAGTCAACCAACCAACCACATCTCCAACCTTTCACAGTGGTTGAACCCTCACCGGGAGGCCTTGTGCCAGACCTGCTTTGATCGTTTGACGGACGAGTTGGGCCCCATGTCCAGGCGCTGATGAAGCGAATTTGGTAAAGTGATTGCCCGATTCAATCGGAATGGCTGAGTGAATAAATTTGAACATCTCTGGAAAACGTTCTCTGGAAAACATGGTTTTGTCAGGCCTTGTTGGAGCTCAACGTGATTGCCAATACCCCACGCCTGTATTTCATGTTTTTCCCATGTTTTTCCTTGAATCCGTGACCACTGAAGGGACCCATGTCCTGCTTGGCAGGTGGGTGCACCAAGACAGCCTGTTATATGTCTCTCCTCCAGTGCAGTGCTCAGAAGCTGAGTTTTTATTGAGAAATATGCAGGATTTCTCGTTCTTGCCAAGACTGGAATTTCAATGAACGGGTGTCAAAATGTAAAAGAAATCGACGCATCGACGCAATTCTGAATCACATTTAGTCCATATTTTAGTACATCCATCATATTGTCGATCCACTTTGTGCGCACAAAATCAATCTATAGCCATGTGACAGATGTAGCTCTGAGGCACCACCCAGCTTGCCTCCTGGCCCCAAGCACGAGGATGTCGTTTCGTTTCGTTTCGTTGGTTCGTTGGTCGCCATGGCCTCATGGCCTCACGTTCAATGCAGGAGCCTGTCAATTCACACTCGCAGAGGCCTAAGAATGGGTGTGGAAAGGGACAACTTCTCAGACAGTGTGGCAGTTTCATGCAGTTTCCAAACAAGTGGGTCTAACGGTAAACCTTTCGAATGTCGTGTTTCTGGCGGGCTGAGGCGAGAAGTCCGAGAAATCGATATGCGAGAGAGCCCGACGGTGAGACATGGCAGACAGGAATGACAGGGAAGGTCAAGGGTTTGGATGGATAGATACATACCTTAAAATGTCATTACATTACATTGCATTACACTACATTACATATCATTACATTATATACATAGATAATCATAGAGAATCATAGTTTATCTTTGATAATCATTGATATTATATAAATAAGTACTTCTTGGCACTAGGTCGATAATTGAGCATCAAACTTGCCTAAGCAGATTGTGAATGATTCAGTATGAGATCATAAAAATGAATTCTGATGGGTTTACTGAAATATGTCGTAAAACCGGCCGTATGAATATGAGTACATACACACGATAGACATATTTCGGGTGGACAAATGTGAGTTCTGTCTGTTTTTTGTCTGGAAAAGTGACAACTATCGAATGCGATCAAAAAGTCAGGACAAGAGGAGACGACATGGTTTTTACTCTTTTTTTTTCCAACTTTCTGTGGACTCAATCTCAGAGATGTTTTCTTGCATGCTTGATTCTCTGTGTTATTCTCAGGATGTTGAAACACCGATGCCAAATACATCCTGAAAACAGAAACCTTCAGAATTGGACCCATCAAGGCAATCTGAAACACAGATAAAAATCAACCAACAGATTCTTAAGATTTTTCAAGCTAAACGTCAAGCATTTTCAACACGGATCTGATAAATGTTTCACAGAAAAACAGGCGAATCCGCCTGCTGAGCGAAAAGAATGGCCAGAACGGTGACTTGGTGAATACCGGTGCCAGCGACCAGCGACCAACGCATAGGAGAGACGCATGGGATTTTTGTGGATTGGAAATATCATGGGTATACCCATAACATGGATTTTTGTTATACCCAGTTATATAGCTATTTTATGGAAATAATCATGGAAATACCATGATATTTCCATTATATCATGATGTGTACCTCATAAAAGTGCTTTGTATACCTCACCAGTTTTTTGGCGATCAAGAGCGGTGCTCCAACTTGTTAGAGGTCATAGGCACAAAGGGTGGACATGGGCAAATTTTGTAACTGGGGAGAAATGCGGATGGCTTGAAACCTTTCATGTTCTGAAATTTGGGGGGATGAACATCCATTGACCCCAGCTATTTTGATATATACATATACCGTCTATATATATATAGATAGATAATAGGCTTTTTGACTTCCAGCCTAGCCAATGAGTGGAACAACCCGAAGCTGTGATGCTGAATCAAGTTTGATCTGCCCCGGGCTAGACACTTTGTGTTTGCCTGAAAACAGGGCAACCCCAATTCCATTGGTGAATCACCATTGTCCTATTATACTAGCTTTTTGGTGGTATACCCCATTTCCAGACACACATGACACCAAACCAAAGATCTTCATAGAAAGTGCTTGTGGCAATACCTTCTGCGCTGCTCCCACTCACATCAAGCCCCAACCTGGCAGCTTTACAGTAGAGGTCGTGAAGGTGAGGGTACATGTAATTACTCACGCAATCATGTTCACTAGAGTGTGTCTGAAAATGGGGTACATCCCCCAATAGGGCCATTTAATAAGGAAAATGATGATTAAGGAGTTTTTGGGGCTGCCCTATTATCAAGACAAACTCAATTGTATGCCCGCAGCATCTGAGGCTCTCCACCGCACCTGCTTCTCGTTCTGCTGCGCCTAGGAGTCTCATGAAGATTCAGTCTTGCGCCAATGTGGGTCTGTCACGGTTCGCCCAAACAGAGTTGGGGATGGGTCAAAACCTACTATTACCACTATCTGGAGGAATAGACATCCATCAACCAGCTATTATAGGCTACCATCCGGGGCACCAGGGTTTTGACCCAGAACCAGTTTGCCCTGCCCCAAAAAAGCGTGGCTTAGAAAGGTGTGCCCCATGGCCGGAACTTGGGCCCATACCATCCTTTTTCGGCAGGACAGATCTGCCCAAAGCGGGTCCAGCACGCTCCGACAGTAATTGCGAAAGGGGTAGAAGTGGCAGATGGGGATGGGTCAAAACCTACTATACCATATTTGTGATGAACATCCATAGATCACATTCATTAGATTCAGATCACGAAATTTTGGTGAACAGAATTTCAGAGTGGTACATCATTAGAGCACTAAATTTTGGTGAACAGAATTTAATGGTACCAGATGGTATCATTGTACCAGCTGTACCATGATTTTGACCACCAAAAACGGAGCTTTCACCTGCCGGCAGGTCTTCGATGCGACGCTGGGGCCGGCGCTCTGGGAAATTCAACAGCCAGGCCAGCTAGGAGCCCATGACGCCACGTGCCGTTTTGGATGGTTTGAAATGGATCCCCCAAGGATCAAAACCCATATAAAACCCATATAAAACGACCATTGGAATGATCAAAACATGATCATTTCGGGATGGAACAAGTTTGGAACAAGCCAACTCTTTGGGCGCCCTGGAAGGAACCAGCCCTTCCCTTCCGCTGCCATCAACGGGCCGTTGGGGACTCTAAGTTGGCACTTTGAAGGACGGCGACTGAGTGAATATGAGTGAATACATTGAATACATCTTCACACACTTTAATCAAATATATAAAGTCATAAGAAATCATTCTAACAACTTCCAAGAATAATATGGGGATGGGGGTTGACACCTGTTTTACAAAATTTTGGGGTTCGCCAGGGTACGACGGTTTTGACTCATAGCCACATGGCTGATAAACATTTTTTCTATGGCTGGATATTGGAATCATCCAATACCCTCTGTCAATTTTTTCACAATTTTTGATATTGGTAGGACATGATCATCGAACTGAATGGATAATTTTCCATGGCTTTACCAGATAGCTATGCAGCTCTGCTAGTTTACCAGAGCTACTCACGATGATCTCAAGATATTGGGCCCTGTCACTGAGGTCTTGGCACAGGACGCCTTGGTTCGAATTTACCCCTGCGGCCGGGCACGACACACGTGACTCGTCCCCTGCTCTCGCGGTGAACGGAAGGCTCGGAGCGTCCAGCAGGAAGCAGCGAGGGATCCATGCAGGAAGCAACAACGTTGACATTGATTTTTTGAGATGTTTCAGATTGTTTCAGATGGTTTCAGATTGCTTCATCCTATTAGAAACGGAAACACTTGAGGTTTGATGATTGTTTGGTGTTCATCTTTGATCCAGAGTGCTGCTAAAAATGCTGCATTGGATTTAGCAATTCTTGGATTCTGTTCCTTTGACACCCCTTGGCTCGCAATTCAGGCTAGCGACGCGCAGCTGAGGTTGTCTTTTTCTCTTTCGGATCGGTTTGCATAGGGTAGAGGATAGGACCTTGGGGCTAAAAGCATGGTGCTTTTTATGAAACACATAGATGCCATGCCAGCATTGTGATACGCTGTGGCTGGAGACAAATGGTCTAAGTCGAATGTCTCCAAGGTTTTGATTCCTCGGGGTATCCGCGGCGCGAACCAAGCGCTCGCGATGGGGATGGGGAGAGGCATCATATCACTGAAGACTGTCATGGCCTATGCAATTTTAAGTCTGCTTATGTCTGCTTAGTTTGTGGATCATGATCATAGGGGGCCTTTAGGCAAATGAGAATCAGTGATCATTAGTGACCTGAGTCAGCCTGAGTCTCACAAGCAGGGATTCTCTTGAGGGTTCTATGGTGGCTCTCCCCGAAGCTTCGCCCTGCTTTTGAAGATGCCGCAGTGAAGCAGCTGCGAATCGCGAGTCCAAGGCTGCATGAAACCGTTGGATGTAGAGAAGGGATCCCCAGATGGGCCCCACAGACTTCAAATCTGTCCGGGCATAGGTGGGGTGGATTTGGATGGATTTGGACATGATTTCGCTAGCATCCTACACTTTTGGTGCCCCGAACTTTCAACGTATTTTCAACGTCCAAGCAGAAGCATGGACTCGCGCGAATGCCAATATAATGGCGATGTGCATGCAAGTGTGCAAGTCAAGTCATGAATCTGATCAAGCTTGGAAGAGGAATCAGCATCGTAGACTTTTCCTGGTTGCCAAGTATGCTTCTTAGACTAGGCAGCTCAGAGAAGGGTTCTACTTTTGTGCTGGATGCGGTCAAGGACAGGCATGTGTGGGTTAGCTGCTCCTTGCGGGACCTCCCTCTGGTAGATTTAGCTCCTTTGGGCGCCTCTCAAAGTACATCCCCCTTGAAGAACGGTCTCTCAGGAAAAGTTGTGCCTCCAGGCATCTTCAAGATATACCCCTTGACAAAAGGGGATCTCAGCTAGATTTGGGCCTTGGGGCGCCTTACAGCGTCTAGTCACAAACCCTTTGAAAAAGGGGCTCTCAGGATATGTCTCCGGGCATCTTCAAACCCCTTGAAAAAGGGTGTCTCAGGTTGCAGGCCGTCTTCGGGCGCCTTACAAGCCCTTTGAAAAAGGGGCTCTCAGGATAAGTTGTGCCTCCGGGCATCTTCAAACCCTTGAAAAAGGGCCGGAAAAGCTGTGCCTCCGGGCATCTTTGCAACGAGGAACCCCGACCCCGGGTACCGGGTGTTCGGGGTCTCCCTAGCCTTGCCAATCCATTGGACACATTTTGCACTCACCCCTGATAGTATTCGCTAGTCCCTGCTGATCGCTTGTAACCTGACACCGGGTACCGGTTGTTCAGGGTCAAGCCCGCGCCAGCATGCTACAACAGCTCATGGCATCAAATGGGTTCATTTCATTGGCGCCTCCGGGCATCTTCAAACCCTTGAAAAAGGGCCGGAAAAGCTGTGCTTCCGGGCATCTTCAAGATATACCCCTTGACAAAAGGGGATCCCAGCTAGATTTGGGCCTTGGGGCGCCTTACAGCGTCTAGTCACAAACCCTTTGAAAAAGGGGCTCTCAGGATATGCCTCCGGGCATCTTCAAACCCCTTGAAAAAAGGGTGTCTCAGGTTGCAGGCCGTCTTCGGGCGCCTTACAAGCCCTTTGAAAAAGGGGCTCTCAGGATAAGTTGTGCCTCCGGGCATCTTCAAGCAATCAGGCCTCAGGCCTTGAAAGTATGAGGGCATGCATGTCTGTCACTCTGTCACCTGGTCAGGCGCACCGAGATGAGGCCGGTGTGCGGGTTGCTGTGAGCAGGGTGGGCGACTTACACCCTTGAAATTACTTGGGCCCCCGGAAAGGGCTCAGCTTTGTTGAGGGCTTAGGGGGCAGTTTTTTGAAACATGTTTTCCGGGCGTCCGGGTTTTTATACTTATGTCATATGACATAGGACTTGGGTGCTAGCCCCGGCACATGGGCAAGGGCACCATGACATAGGAGTTGTGGAAGGCTGCAACGAATTTGACCCATAAGATGGGACTAGGGTGGCATGTTTGAAGCAATTTTAACATCCATATGACATAGGACTTTTCCTACGACGAGTTCTGGGACATGTGGTTCCAACTTTTTCGCATGCCGGGATGAGATCAAAGACAACCGTACATAAGATAAAAATAGATTTTTTTTCATCAATGCAAGATGTTCCCAGGTGACACCATGACTTAGGACTTGCGATCCCACATATGTCGTAATCATGTGACATGTTCGCAGTCGTATTAGAAAAAACAACCAGGGGCTTCTAAATCTAGTGTCTCAGGACTTGTTGGAAAATGATACAACCAGTGGCACCCGCTGGATGTCTGAGGACTTGTGGGCCACTTTTTCCCGCCTTTTGCTTTGGTCACTCAGTTTTTCAAACCTTATCACTGCTGCTTCCCTGTTGTGAATTCTTTAGGTGATTTTCTTGAAAAATCAGTTGCTTTTGGAAAACGAGCTATCTGCAAACGCGGGAGGTGGTTCACACAACCAAATGCATGCGGTGAAACATGGTGAAACCATGCAAAATTTAGATGGTAGATTCTTCAATTTGTTTCTTTTTTGCCGGTGGCTCCGGAACTGTTCGGACAACGCGCTAATCCTAGGTGTCCCCTCCTCATTTCCCCCAAACCGACCTAGTCCTAACTCATCAGTCCCATCGTGCGGCATGATGTCCCAGGAGTTGACACATACCCTTAGTCCTAAGTCATCCTTACCATCCACTCATGTCTTGGCACAACAGGAATAATAGGTTCAATCCCCCAAAAAATAACCAAAACCTGATGACATAGGATCCAGTAAATTTTGAGCTATTCCGACGAGTCCCGTGTCATTGGTAAGAAGTATATATTTTTTTAAAGATTGCGACAAAAGACGTAGGGCTTAAAACCAACCCCTCGCGTCGGTGATTTTTTTCCATGCAACACGGTTGATCAAACTCTTCTTTGTGAAACATTTGTGACTTGACCTGACTTCACCTGACTCACGCTGAACACATGCTGTTCGACGCGCTTTCCAGTAGGTTGCCACAAGGCAAACCTTCAGCACAATTCTCTGTGGTTTTTGTTGCGGGAAGGATTGTCTGCAATCACGCGTTTCACAGATGGTTTCGTACGTGTGCCGTGCATCAGTTTTTGGGTTAGCAGATAAACAGCGTAAACAGTTTCCAAAATATTTTGTCAGCAGCCGGTTCAAAAATCCGGCATGGAAACATTTGCCGCGCTGCTACCATCGTCGAGCAACGCTGCAACTCTGCAACAGACCTTCTTCATGGCGCTTGGCAAGTTTGGCGCAAAAGGATGCAAAAGGGTCAATGACAAGAAATGCGGAACATGGTATGATAATATGGGTATGGATCAATACCTATTAATACCATTTTTAGGGGGATGAACATCCATTTACCAGCTATTTTGATGTTCACCAGGGGTACAAGGTTTTGACACACTGCCATATGTATTTTATTTTTGATGTTTGCTGTATGTTCATCGAATTTTTCTCCGACGTCCGATTCGATCATGTTCGTCAAACACATGTCCAACACAGCCGCATGACAAATGGCAAAATCTGTTTATGCTTGCGCGCATGTTTGGTTCAAGTCTCACATGGGGCAAAATTGAGAAATCCTCACTGCCGCCGCAGGCTGGACGATATTGGGACATGTCAATTAAATTGGGCAAAGTCCAACGTTCATACTTGATATGATATGCGTGGTTCGCAGGTCACCATGCCGGAAGGGAAGAAGGCACGGATGAATCTGGAATGATTTGTCCCAACGACATCCTTTATGCATAGGCGTCCGTAAAATTCACTAAATAATGTATTTGATCGTGACAAAAATCATCACAACGCGTGTCTCAAACAGTTCTGGAGGTGAACATGTTTATTAATGTTTGTTCCAAACATAGTACTTTTGTCATTGTTGTCGTTTCCTTTGACCATACAGTATGGGTCAAACTAGACCCCAAACCCACCGTTGAGCTGTTCTTGTGCAGGGGAATTGCGTGGGTATGTGTGGCTTGAGGGGTCCTTAATTCTGGACCACTACGCTAACTGAACCAGTTTGATGTAACAATGTGCCAAAAATGCCAACCTGAAATTGCATCAATCGTGCCAGGTACAGCATGACACAGAGGAGGGAAGTGAGTTTCTCCGAGATGCTGTGCAGCAGGCATATGGGTGCGTAGATTTCTTGAAGGTTGAACGTTTGCACTAGGTTCGAAGATACAGGGCACTTCAATCAGAGCACGTTTTTGATTCCAGCAGTTTAGACATGGCATTTGCGCCATGCTGTGGATGAGTTCAGAAATACTGTAGCCATCTGTAGCCATGTAAAGGAGCGAAGACATCTAACAAGGGCCAGGGCCGCGGCAACGATCAAACCTTTGATGGGATGAGGAGATTTTTCATGGAGAATTCACCAGAAATTGAGCCACCCATAGGCCTCAACTGCCATGGGAAAGTTCGAGAACGAGAAGGTGCCGAGTTGTCAGTCTTAGCAGATAAAGTGCTTAATTTGTGCAGCGATCCTGCTGATGTTGACATTTCTTTAGGACATATGACATAATTCTGACTTTAATATGGTAAACCCAGCAATAAACCACCCCCAATGACTTACCATAAATGGATGATAAGAAGCATCCCTAAAAGGTAGGTTTATTGCTGGGTTTACCACATGACTTCTGAGATCAACTTGTGTGTGTTCACTGGACTACGTCAGCCTAGAGCTTTGGTGCAAAAAACGACAGCCAGCCTTCCAAATGAATGTCACCGCAAGCGTACCTGGCAACCTGAATAGCCATATAGCTTGGAAGTTTCTGAGCATCTTCAAGCTGTATAATTTGGAGTGGTTGAAGAATCTTCATTCTAGACAGACTTTTCAATTGGATGCAGCTTGCATCAGCCGCAGCCCGGATGCTAACTGGTTGGTTGAGTAGATTCACGAAGGGTTCATTGGTTGATGTACTAATTTGGTTCACCAACTGCAGGACATCTCTCGGCACATCAAAGCCTTCTTCGATGGAAAGCAGGGGCCCCATAGATGGGAGAATTGCTGGGGCACCCCCATAGGTACAAAACAACACTAAAAACAACCAAGTAACTGCCGGAAATACAGGCTTTTGATATTTTTTGATAGCTTTAATTCCAAGTCTGAAACAGCTGCAGCACTGTACCAGACCGGATTCTGCTACAGCTCAGGTATGGCCCGAATTGGCATTGCATTGTCGGCAAGGGCTTTGCAACTCATGCAACCTATGAGGCCATGGCAGCTTTTCCTTTTTAAATGCTCGAACATCACTTTCAAGTTGTTGATATTTGTTGTACTGTTGGAGACTACATAAAGTATATTAAAGTGTATAACAGTATATAACTAACCCAGTAGTCGGGTGATGTTTAATTAGGACATATTAGGACGTTACCAACCCCTATCAGTCCATGTAGCAAGCACAAAATTGTGGGTGCACAGCTGTATAGAGATACTTGTAATGAAGACTTGAAACATGTTGACTTCAACACATGACCAGTCGCAGACTTGGCATAGATTTTGTGACCCAGACTTTCCCAGGGATCCCCTCAACTCATAGAATCTAAGTTGGATGTGAAAAAACTACGGTGATTTGATCATCATTTTTTGCAGGCAAAGACATCCATGTTCTTCGTTCTCCCCCCGCTGGCGATCTTGCTTTACAAGATGGGGTCAACAGCTCAGAGGCTGTTGCCTTTTCTTGTTCCCGCTTGGGCCTCTTTTCTGTGGCTTCACATAGGATCACAATTCATGTGCAGTTCAATAGTGGCAAGGGTTTATATGTATGTATTGCACAATAATTAATCACATTTAGAATTCATAGAATCACATAATTGCACAAGTCATTGCAATTTGTCGCTGAGCCTCTTTGCAAAATCGTGCAGTACAGAACTTATGGCTTGGGCTGAGGTGAGTCCTCGTAGCGTTTCACACGGTCCAGGCCAGGATCTGTCAGAGTCGACAGCTTCTGCATTCTTCAGCCCATTCTTAACTGATGGGGCCGAGTCAAAAATTAATCAAAAACAAAGGGGCCCCACAGATTCCATCAATCTTGGAAGTATACTAATTATCTAATTAAACTTATATCCCGCAGTGGGCAATGAAACAGACCCGAATGAAATCTCATGATCCAAAGCCAGGTGACCACCCATGACTCAGCAGTGAGACGACCCTGGATTTGTGAGAGCCCATGGAAATGGTGAGACAGCAGGTTCTATGGCGAATAGTCAACATTTCTACTGAGTACCAAATCATCCCAAATCTCATTCAAAGGTTCATTCGGATTTTCAGGATTTTCAGCTTGCAAATTCCATGTTTTGGTCCTCCGTTTTTTTGGTGAACAAGACCCAAGATCCTGGAAGCTAAGAGCAATTCGTAAGAATCGGAAGAAACGTGGCATCTCTTTTCGACGTAAAAAGTGGCGGATTGCGATCCAACAAATCGAGGCCGGAAAGTTGGATGTATCACCTCGGTTCATGGCCATCACTGGCCAGGACACTAACGAGCTGTTCATTGATTGGCCATGCTGCGGCATGCTGCGGCTATGTCATCTATCTTTGTATTATGGTGGAAGAATGTTTGATGGTTAAATCTGATTCTACCTGAAAGTACTGTAATATTCATGGAATGTGATATATTCAATAATCTTATGTTTGATTTTATATGTCGTTTGGGGAATGCTTGATATCAGGGGATTCACCACAGATGACATTTTCAGAAAAGTGTGTCAGGTGCGTTGGCTGGTGGGGCCAAAAAGAAGGGCCGAGCTGCATGGAATGGCGAACCCGAGTACTGCTTGGAGAAAAGCTGACTGAGCTGGCAGTTTTCAATGAAATATGTTGCAACATGTTGCACCATTGTTGCAATTATCAACCGTTTAATGCTCGCAGACTGTCAAGTGTTCAGCAATGCTTTTGTTTGAGGCAGCCATTGGCTTTATCAGCCCAGCTAGTCGGACCTTGAGCAAACAATACGTGCAACAAAAGGAAGCATTAAATGCGCTGAAAGAGGACAGGCTCACTGGTTCTGAACAATTCTTGGAATTGGAAGCGAGCATGAATGATTTGGGAGCATGAATGGCGGGAAAACACAAGCTGCATATCAAAGAAGGATATCGAAGCCCACACAGACGCTGTCACATTGAGCATTTCACCATATTTCACGAGGTACCAGAACGATCAGTTGCCGCAAGAGAACGCATTCGCCATGTTGCGCTTCTTTGGTTCAACAAAGGACTTGCCTTTTCAGGGTCGAGTTGCCTTATTTTGTCATATCTTGTCCAAATCACCAGGATAAGGAGAATGTGGAGGTGTTTACCAACAGCCAGAGAACTGAATACATCAACAAGCGTGCCTTGGGATGCAAACAATCGGAACTTATCAGGATATATCAGGATTGCAGATAGCCTATATTGTTTCCACACACATGGACCGACAAGAGAAGTGGTCAGAGTGCTGCAACCCCGGAGTTACCCGGAATTCTAGCATTTTAATCTCATGAATACTTACGCGTCACGAAACAGATATACGTTATCAGAATCCAAAAGGTCGTAAACAGGGTTTTTAAGGGATAGCCAGACGTACTGCGCATGTACTATGTGCATGTGGATGCGCGAGTGAGCGTGCGGGTTCTTGAAAGCGCGCGTGTTGTATGCGCATGTGAGCGTGCAGGTTGCCACATGGGCGCGCGGGTGGTTTGCGCATGTGAGCATGTGAGTGCGAGTGAAGGTGCAACCCATGTGTGGTTTGTATGGTTAATCTTGTATCAATACTATATTCCTACCACGTGGTTTCCACGTCAACAGAACTCATGCGCATTGAGGTTTTTAGAATTAAGGTTTATTGACAAGTGAGCAGTTAAACGTTGTAAGCCAGTCTTCCCACACATACAAGCACACTTCCGTCTTTATATGATGCACTGTACCGGGCTGACCTCAGTGTTTGCAGCGTGCAGCGTCTGTACTACTCGTGATCGAACTCAACAACCTCCTATCGCCTATCGTCCTTTTATGGTTTGATATTACTAGTTTTACCAATAACAATTATCAATGACACATGGCGTTGCTATCAATCGTGGCTGATTAACTTTCAAATTCAGAATCATATAAATAATTATATAAACATAATTATGTATTATATATAGATATATGATATGTACTGTATAATATAATATTTACTATATATACATATTATAACATATATTATTATAAACATTATGTTATATAATATTTGTTTAGGGTATGTACAGCCTAATAGAATCATATCAATCAAGTCATTCAAAGCCCACGGATGTCTTTGAGTCACACTTGTAGGTCCCCTTCATGCCGTCTTCCCAAGCCATGAGCCATGTGCGACCACAGACCACCACCTGAGGGTGAGGAGACAGAGTGAATCAAGGATTTCTACTTGGAACCGGGGAAAAACTGGGAAGACCCTGATCCATCATGACCACTGACCCTGGCCCAACTGATGGTGCGTCCTAGCTGCTCCTGTCAAAGTGACACCCTGAAACTTCTTGTAGGTCAGCTCCTGCTCATTCAGAGGAGCATTCGTCATGGCCGTGTAGCTAGAAACCTCCACAAAGAAACTCAGCGGAGCAGACAGCTCTTCCTCAACCTTCTCATCCACCCCCACGAGCCTTAGAACCGAATCTGCGGCGTGGAGGGTATAAGTGGGTTTGTATATGTATATATATATATAAATAAAATGATTTTGATTATATAATATTTATATTTATATTTATATTTATTTATTTATGTATTTGTTTCTTTATATAGTATTAATTTATATATATATAATTTTTAAATCATGGCCACTTATAATCATATCATTGTATTAAATGTATATGTACAAATATGATATATATATACACATTATGCAATGATATAAGATAGATGAGATTTATATAGCTATAATATATTCAATATATATATTTACAATATAAATAAATAAATATATATATATATCAGTTTTACTGTCAGTACGGCGTGCTATACAGCACATGGTTCTACCAGTCTTCGCGTCCTAGTACCTGGTTGCAAATGAGATTGCCTGTAACCTGTCTGTATGTATGTATGAATGTGAAATTACCAGGAAACATTAACTTTGAATGCTATTGGCTATTGGCTATTGGCTAATGATAGGCTCTGATTTACGAAGGAACAGGAAAGGACATTGTATGTACTGCTAAGGACATTAATGCCTGAAAATTCGGTGGTGCAGTGATAAACATGAATCTGAATCTGTAGAAAATCTTATGGAAAAATGACTATCACTGATCTGATCACTGATCACTTCACTGATCACTTAATATTACGAGTCAACCAAACAAGCCATGAGCGAGTTCGGACAAGTTTTGAGCGGACACCAAGCTGGTCAGGGGTGCGAATGCGCATGCCAGGGTTGTCGTTCCGCAACTTGATCAATGCATCGCGCTGCTGACACCACCTAAGATCCCAGCCCCATTCATCCAGGCCCCCGTTCATCCCGGCCAATTCATCCAGCCCCCAGCACGCACACACACACACACAAACACCACCCCCCTGTCCAGACCCATCCAGCCAAGACACTTGTGCAAATCCGTTGGGTGTTTCTTGAACCATGCGGCGCACTTCTTCAAGTTGCCAACCTTCAATTCCCAGCCGCCCTTGGTGTGCACCTCAGAAGGCAATGAAATGGTTGACAATGATTGGCTTTAGATACCCTTCCCCTCCCCACCCCCCTGTCCCAGGACCCCTAGCTGCATTCCAGGCACATTCACGCAGAGCAAACACATGAACCCCTTTGGATGCTCACGTGAACCCTGGTACCATGGTACGAGGGGAAAGAATTTGCATGTCTTTGCCCGATCATGAGTGAAAGGCGTCCTCTGGGTTGTCCATTTCCAACAGAATTGGCATCGCATCGCTATGTAGTCATCAGGTTTCTGGAACTCAGGCGGTGGCGGTGGCGCCGTGGCATGATCAGCCATGACTACAAATTCCACCATGTACAAATTCCTGCTACCCTTGGGATCAAAATACTGTGCAATGGTCAAGATTGGGTAACTGCACCAGTGCACTCATCTGTTCATCCACATGCACACCTACATGTGCACATGTATGTTCACTCGGGCACTCACATGTACACTTGTACGTTCACTTGTTCGCTCACATGTTCATTTTCACTTGTTCATTTTTAAGCCTATATATTTATATAATATATAGGCTTATCAGTGAACATGTTCATACTTAAGCCTATATATCATAGAAATATATAGGCTTAAAAATGAACAGGTGAAAATGAACATGTGAGTGTACATGTGTGTGTGCATGTGAACATGTGTGTGTACATGTGGGAGTGCAAGTGGGCATGTGTGTACACATGTGGATGTGCATGTCCATGTACATATGTCCAACGATATGTACTGTATGAATCATCATATGAAATCACATGAAGACATACTGAAATACAGATATACAGTGATACACCGATGACTGTCCGACGATTGCTCTGAGAGCCGCTTTGTTTCTCAAACCACCTGATCTCTTGCTGTCCATTGCCAGCGAGCTGGTGTTGGAGTGAAGTCAGTACCATTGCCTCAGTCTTGGGAAATCTTGGGAAATCATTGAGCAGTGAACCCTGAGATTCTAGTGTACCCATTTTCTAGTGTACCCTGAGGTTCTGCTATCGCCAACACTCACACACACACACACACACTGGAAGCAGCAATAGTCATAGTCGGCCGGTTGAACCCAAACAC